CCCCAAAACCCCAAAACCCCAAAACCCCGCATTGAATAGATAATAGTTAAAATAGGTTATTAAGTTTATGTAAATGTAAGATGATTAATTTATATTTTAACTGTATAGTGAGGTGTTATTTTTTGGAAACAACAAAAGATATCTAAATAAGATACAAATATCATCTAACTCTAGGTTAGGACAAGCTTTTATTATCTCGATGCTGGCTAGACCTTCTTCTGTCCATGTGAAAAGTTTCTCGCTTACTCGTAGATACAGGATGGTTGCTTCTTCTTTCTTTTTGATGTGAAGACATACTTTACCTGCTGAGAACATTACTTAAATTTGGTATGCTTGATTTTAAAGTCTATAAACCTATTTATCCAGATGGATCAACTGGCATGTTATTACGAATACTTAAGCCGCGATTACTGTCCCTCTATTATAGTAGATAGGTTGAGTTTTTATTGTTAGCGTTTATTGGGACTTACAGATTTACCCCAAATTTTTATTGGTTAAGACTTGGTCTACTCAAATCTGAGGCGTTTCTACGCAAGGCATTCTATTATGTATTGTTTAAACTTGGAGGATTTTAAATTTCCAGAGTTGTGCCATTCTAAAACATCATTCTTTACTTTCTGCTTGATAATGGAGTGTTGCCCAATAAATATTATTAATTCTTTAGGCTATATGTATTTGCAGAAGGTGCACTCACTCCTTAGATCTATCCACCTCCTACTATGAGTTTCCCACTAATCTTAACCTTTGTCCTTGTTTGTCTGAGAAAATCATTGAAACTCTCTCTGCTTAAGTTTTGACTATCGTTTCTTTGCCGTTTATTAGGGGACTTACTCTTTCTGCTTATATCTGCAACTTTATGAGCTCCATTGATACTCATCTTGCTGGTTTGATTATTATTTAATCCGTGCGAACTCATAATTTGAGATGTTTCTTCATCAATTGGGAATATATTATTGGCTATTGTGCTTTAAAATTTTGAATTAGCTTTAGGAGTAGTTGCTAACATGACAGTAGAGCGGGATTTCTTAGATTTATCAAGTCCACTTAAACCTGTTTTAGCTAGAGAGTTTGGACTGAAGATCATATTTTATTACCGTTCCTCTTCTTCTGTTAATCTGCGAGGTTACTATGCTTAATGCTCTTTTTATTATTGAAGTTATTTAACATATTCTCCTCTTGGAATAGGGCCAATATAAATATTGTTTTCGAAGTATCCTTCTTTTATTGTGCCATCTGGATAAATAATCTTGCCATATCCGTGTTAAATACCTCTAATCCAATCACCGATATAACAGCTTCCATCTGTCCATTTCATTTCTCCATTTCCTTCTCTCTCATCATCCTTATATTAGCCCTTATAAGTATTTCCAGATGCCCACACAAACACTCCGTAACCATGCTTCTTGTCTTTTTTATAGTCCCCTTCATATGAGATAAACTGATTCTTGTTAATTGCTTAACCATGAGTATTGCTATCATTGTGATTAATCGTGGCATTATGATTATTTACATATTTCTTCCATTTCCCTTTGCCTTCTTTTAATCCATCTATGAATTCTCCATCGTAGTAGTTTCCGTTTGCCCAGGTGTAAGTGCCATGCCCTTCAGGCTTACCATTTTTGTACTGACCCGAGTATTTGTCACCATTTGCAAAAATATCAGTTCCTCTACCACTTTTCATGCACTACTTCCATTCACCCTCATATCTATCTCCATTACACCAAGTATGTACTCCATATCCTTCTGCTTTTCCATTTCTCCATTCACCGATGTATGAGTCTTGAAACTTTTAATCAGTATTCTTGTTAACCCTCTTCCAGACCCCATAACCATGCCTCATTCCCTTTGACCATTCTCCATCATAAACTTCCGAAGTTGAAATCCACTGATATCTACCTTTTCCATGAGCTTTGCCATATTAAAATTCTCCTTGATAAATATTGCTATTTGGGTATCTCTCATATCCTCTTCCATGTCTCTAATCATTTTCCCATTCGCCTTCATACAGTCTCCCATTTGAGTACTTCATGACTCCTTTACCCTATCTCTAATTTTTGCCATTTTAAGTTCGTACACATTCCCCGAAATATAAAGCATCAGGGAATTTTCTAATCATAAAGTTATGCGAATTTTTGAGATCATCCAAGTCTATTTCTTTGCTCTCAGGTTTATATTCATCAAGTATCTGCTTAAGCGCAGGATCAGAAGCATTATTTATAAATCCCTAGGATAGGGATTCAAATGTAAAGTTAAGTGAGTGCTTAGATTCATCTGATTTCTTTTTAACCATAATTTGTTCCTCTAGAGTGTTGAATTCCTCATCATTGAGCAGTTTTTCATCATTTAAATCTTAACTAACATCCAATAAGTTAACAAATTTCATAAAAAATCAAGAGTTTATATCTCTAAATGAAGATTTTTACCTTATATCAAAAGCTCTATTGTATTAAAAGCCAGTCTTTTTAGGATCTAAAGTACCCTCAGTGTTAAAAAGAGGATTAGGGGAAATATCTTCAGACATCTTACTTGTCTCAAATTGTTCCTTAATCTATTTAAGGCTATTTCTCTTCCTATGTTTCATTACTTTAAATTAAGTTAATTATTTCTTTTTTTATTTCAGTTCTCTCAAATCTCTATAAAAAATTTATTGTAAGTAAAGGGGTTTTGGGGTTTTGGGGTTTTGGGG